GGTACCCAATAGCATTACGGCGTGATTCTGCCGGTCACTTAGTATGCTCACGTCACGTGGACCCCGCGGCTGCCCCTTTGTTTTCCTCGAAGAAGTGTTCTCTGATTACCTTTTGGGGCCTGTTTGGTAAAAATGCTTCTAGCTTCCAAAACTTAAGAAAACGTGCTTTCCTCCTAAAGATTTTATTCTCTGAGCCTCCAAAACACAAAACCCAAGAGATTAAAATATGTGAAGACCATAATATCACTCACACACTCTTTTTTTATCATAATGTACTGAGATGATAGTTGAAATGATTGATGATGATTATTTTATTATTTTTATTTTTTATTATTTTCGTTGTTTTGAGGGGAACTAACTGTTTGTATTGGGAGATTGTTAAAATTACGGGTGAATTATTAAAGTTACGAGTTAATTGTTAAGGTTATGAGTCAATTGTTAATATTATGATTCCCTTTTCTCTCTTTATCATGATGTTACTGTGATGATGTTGAAATGATTGAAGGGGATTGTTATTTTATTATTTTTGTTTTTTTATTATTTTCATTGATGATGAGGAAACTAATTGTTTGTGTTTGTATTGGGAGATTGTTAAGGTTACGGCTTTAATTGTTAATGTTACGGGTTGATTGTGAAGGTTACGAGTTTAATTGTTAAGGTTACATGTTTAATTGTTAATGTTACGGATTTGTTGTTAAGGTTACGGGTCGGTTGTTAAGGTTACGAGTTGGTTGTGAAGGTTACGGGTTTAATTGTTAAGGTTACGGGTTTAATTGTTAATGTTACGGGTGTGTTATTAAGGTTACGGGTCGGTTGTTAAGGTTACGGGTTGGTTGTGAAGGTTACACGTTGAGATATATATGTATATATATTTTGAGTGGAATGAATACTTTGGGTCACTTGGCCTAGTGGTAAAGTTTGGGAGTTTGAACAAGAGGTTAGGGGTTCAAACCCTTACAACCACAATATTTTTAGAACCTGTAACATTAACAACCAACACGTATCCTTAACAACGAATATTCTAAAAACCAGTAACGGGTTGGTTGTTAAGGTTACGGGTTTGCTGTTAATGTTATGAGTTTGTTGTGTAGGTTAACTTCACAACCAAAACGTAACATTCACAACCAACGCATATCCTTAACAACAAACCT